CTTTTAGTGTAAATAACTTATCGCAATTATTATGATTATTATTATATTAATATAATCTCCGAATCTCTTGATCATGGAGATACATCCTCAAATTTATATTATTGCCCATATACTACCCTGACATAGGATCATAACGGATGGTTGTACCTACCTGTGCCCAGGTTACATTAGCTGCTGAGGACACAGATGACAATGGATGAAGCTGGTGAGTGTCTGGAAGGTGAAGCTGGTTTTTTCGTGTAAAAAAGATCTTCGAAGTCTATTTAGAAATGTGTTGTGGACCTTACACGGAAGTCTTCCAGGAAAATTACCAAGTTCCTTGCGGTATATTTGTGACCAGTTTAGAGATTCTTTCTATTCCCACAGCCCGTACCAGGCAATTCAGGTGCTTGCTTATCTAGGCTGTTGCTGCTGGCTGCCCATGGCCCAAAAATTCATCACAACCCAGTTGATCTGACACATGTTATACATCTTATAGAGCAGTGACTGCTAAACTCTAAACGAGGCAGAAATTCACTCCACCATGAGTATGTCATGAATATAAATTACAAACTCATCTCGTTTTAACAGTTCAGATTACTGAGAAAGACGACTCACCTCTCGAACATACCTGGTGTTAGTGAACCTGTCACTTCAACAGAGCCTTCAGCTTCTTAGCTATGTACAAGGCCAATATCATCAATATCGTATACGTAGTTGAACTACGAAGACGGACATTTGACAGCTATTATTTCTTGATCGACTCGTAGATTGGAACATATTTATATAACTAACTGTTGACGTAATCAAGACAAAAATGTGTACCATTTTGAAAACTTATTTCACTTGTAAGTATTAATGAGAATAAATTATGCAAGATCATCAGACAACTAGACTGAAACCAAAAGGAGTCACCTGGCCCTGAAGAGCTGTTTTCAAAGGATCTAAAGGAATGTAAAGAAGAACTTAGCAAACCATTAGCTAGTCTCTTCAGCAGATCACTGTAAACCGGTATATTACCGGTTTAGGGAAAAATTGCAAGCTTTTACCAATTTAAAAAGTAGGAGATAGATCCTTAACTTCAAATGATACATTAACCTCAACTGTGATAAAGTTAATGGAATCTATAATTGTGTATGCATTTCGCAGCCTCCTTGTTTTACGAATTTGCTAACATTACTCATTTAGGTATTCGAGGCGGAAGAACAAAATATAGAATACGATATTGTGCATATGAACTTCAGCAAGACTGATCAATAGTGGTAGTACATGGTATAGGAGAAATTATCTCTTGGGTCGAGTGATGGCTGACATAAGCAACCATATTTCAGAAATGTGGTGTGCCACAGGGGTCAGTGTTGGGACCCTTGTTGTTCACAATCTGCATAAGCGATATAGATGAAGGAATAAATAATGATATAAGCTTGATGATGGCATTTTGAAATAGGCTGGCATGTAATTTCTGATGAGGACCTTAGGAAGGTCCAGGATGACATGCATTGGTTGACGTTATGGTCAGAGAAATGACAGATGCAGTTCAATGCATACAACTGTGAAGGTATATTCTAAATAATATTAATCATAAGTCATTCTGAATATGAAATGGGAGACTGGAATAAAGGGTAAAGCCAATAGAACAGTGTACAAGCATCTATAGTTAAAGTAATAGGTTTATTTGCTTCCTGTCAAGAAGTTATAATTAAAATTTACATATCAATGGTATGGCCTCGTTTAAATTATATTTCTCATTTTAGGCCTCCATATTAGAGAATGGACATGCATCAGAAACCTATCCTGCTAAGATAGGCAAAAAGTACTGAATTTGCAATATCTGTAAAGTCATAGAATTTAGGGAAAAATATGATTGAAGTGTTCAAATGGAAAATAAACATGAAGATGCAAATAACGTCCTGAAATTATCCAGCAAAGACAGGACTCGCAGAAATTAATTTATGTTCGATAAATTTAGATACAGAATGAATGTATGAAGGTAATGATTTGGCAGTAGAGTTGCAGATGACGCCTTACTCCCAGGTAGCTTCACTGGGGGCGAAAATTTGTGTATAGATTGTATGAGTATACGAATGGCAGTGGTTGGGTGTGAGATGGACTTGTCTAACACGGGCCCACAGTCTTAATGCAGTGTTCCTTCAGTTTTATGTTGTTACGATAAGAGCAACTTCTGAAATACTGGCAAACTCTCACCTTACATCAGAAAACCATTAACTGGAGGGTGGGAGAGAAGGGAAAGAGAGAGAGAGAAAAAGACAGAGAAAAAGAGGGAATGAGAGCTGTTCTGATTATTATAATTTATGTCTCCAACGCTCAGCATATACACTCATGATTAGTAATCGCTATACACACATTTTAAAACTTACTGATCTCTGATTTTTTAATTGATAATTATATATATATATATATATATATATATATATATATATATATATATATATATATATATATATATATATATATATATATTATATATATAATATTTTATATTATATATATATATAATTATATATATAATTATATATATATATATATATAATTATTATAATAATTATTATATATAATTATATATATATATATATATATATATATATATATATATATATATATTATGTCGTGCCGAATAGGTAAAACTTGCGATTTTGGCTTAAATAGCAGCGCTCTTCTTGCCGAACAAGACAAGCGATAATTTGTTTATTCAAAAATTTCGAAAAAGAATCATTCTGAACCTAAAAAATATATATTTCGCTGTGTTTTTTTTAATATTAAATTACTGTGAACATGTCTAAAATATATTTAGTTGGATTAGGCTAAACTAAATTGCGCTTGTTTTAATAAGGTTACGTAAGTTTTCTAAGGTTCCTTTGGTACAAAATTGTTAATTTTTACATTAACATAAGTGAAAAAATATATTAATTAAACGTATAAGAGAAAATTTAGAAATGAATTAAATTTAAATGAGTCATTCCTAAATGACCAGTTTTACCTATTCGGCACGATAATAAATATATAATTTCAAAATAAATCATGATTCTCTTATTTTCATTAGAAATAGAAAAAAGTCTTTTATGCAGTTTTAATGACTATATTGAATTAGTTTTGTGTTGGCAAAATAAAAAATATCCAGCAAAAAAAAAAAAAAAAAAAAGAGGTCCATTGTTTTGCTTTTATAATCATCGAGATTAACAGCTGGGGATAAAAAATAGTGACTAAAAATTAATAAAAAGTAATATTAAATTCTTTTTGTCGAGCAATAATTTGTGCCAATTTGAAAATTTTGTACAGATACAGAGGGCTACACATTAAAGGACAGATGGGAAGGAATAAAATTCACGTCTGTGAACGTCTTGTGAAAAACAATTTATGTAACAGTTTATTTAACAGCTGATCTCTGGACGAAGGAGACACGAACCTACGAACCTTGGAACAAGATACGCAGTGCTAAATTTACCAACCGTAGTGATGAATGGTTTGAAAAACCGACAAGTTGAAGATTGAGACACTTATGCAGCATATGGGAATCTTTATTCAGGAAACGTTTCGCCACACAGTGGCTTCATCAGTCCAATACAAAGAGGAAGGCGCAAGGAGAGGAGGAGTACGAGGTAATCAGTCCCTCAGCCTGGAGTCGATGTGTTCAGTCCATCAACCTTGTAGATGGACTGAACTCATCGACTCCAGGCTGAGGGACTGATTACCTCGTACTCCTCCTCTCCTTGCTCCTTCCTCTTTGTATTGGACTGATGAAGCCACTGTGTGGCGAAACGTTTCCTGAATAAAGATTCCCATATGCTGCATAAGTGTCTCAATCTCCACCAACCGTAGTACACTGGACCAATACCATGGCGTCCCGTCATTTCTAAAATTTTCTCTTATACGTTTAATACATTTTTTTCATTTATGTTAATATCAAAAAATAATATTGTACCAAAAAACGCTTAGAAAACTTACCTAACCTTATTATAACAAGGGCAATTTGATTTAACCTATTCCAACTAAATATATTTTAGAAAAGTTTACGATAATTTAATAATAAACACAGTGAAATAAATTTTTTTCGTTAGGTTCAGAATGATTTTGCGAAATTATGGCATACACGAATTTTCGCTTGCCTCATTCAGCAAGAAGAGCGTTGCTATTTAAGCCAAAATCGCAAGTTTTACCTAATTTGCACGATGTATATTATATATATATATATATATATATATATATCTATATATAATATATATATATATATATATATATATATATATATATATATCTTAGGTAATAGGTTGGTAGACAGCAGCCGCCCAGGGAGGTACTACCGTCCTGCCAAGTGAGTGTAAAACAAAAGCCTGTAATTATTTTACATGATGGTAGGATTGCTGGTGTCCATTTTTTCTGTCTCATAAACGTGCAAGGTTTCAGGTACGTCTTGCTACTTCTATTTACACTTAGGTCACACTACACATACATGTACAAGCATATATATACACACCCCTCTGGGTTTTCTTCTATTTTCTTACTAGTTCTTGTTCTTGTTTATTTTCTCTTACCTCCATGGGGAAGTGGAACAAAATTCTTCCTCCGTAAGCCATTGCGTGTGTAAGAGGCGACTAAAATGCCAGGAGCAATGGGCTAGTAACCCCTTCTGTATATATTACTAAATGTTAAAGGAGAAACTTCGTTTTTCCTTTTGGCCACCCCGCCTCGTGGGATACGGCGGTGTGTTGAAAGAAATATATATATAAATATATATATATATATATTATATATATATTATAATATATATATATATATATTAAAATATATATATATATATTGTGTGCAAGGAATTCGCGAGAGCAATGCGACATATACACAAACACTGATGTATGTACACACACACACACACACACACACACACACACACACACACACACACACACACACACACACAGGCCTAGTGTCTAATCGACATGTGCCTAGGACAAAATGGTAACTAACACACATTTATTTGTCTCTCAAATTTTGTTTTGCTTTTACAGGATGACCCATCAGACAATGGCAGCGTGAAAGTGTTGAGACAAGGCAACCAGGATCAAGAAGAGAGGTAGAGGCGGAAATTTGTGAGGTTTTGCCTCAAGGTTCGTGTTTATTGAGCCACGAGGTGACCAAGCCATGGTTGATCTGGCCTTCCCTCTCTGAGGTGATGTTCATATCATTTAAACATGATTGTGCTCGAGCTGCCGCCCCTCTGAGGGCCACAGTTCCACCCTACCCGCCCATACGCCCGCACGCTTACACTAGGAAAGGTTGAGTCACTGCTGTTTTACCTATCACTGCCGGCTGCCCTCCGTACCCATATGAGGGAGAGTTGAGGGCAGGCGGGAGGTGGAGGCGAGGGCGTGATGGTGGTATGATCCCGAGGGCGTGGGCGTGGCTGGTGGTGCTGGCCGCCGCATGGCAGGCCCCGCAAGCCGCAGCCGCAGCCAAGACGCGCCTGGTCACCACCAAGTACGGCCAGGTCCAGGGGCTTATCAGGCACCTCGGTCACCTTCTGGGAGACGTGGAAGTCTTCATGGGTGTCCCATATGCTAGTCCCCCCGTGGAAGAGGGACGCTTTACTCCCACTAACACTCCAACCCCCTGGGACGGGGTCCTAGATGCCACTACCCCTCCCCCCGTGTGCCCACAGCTGCTGCCAGACCCAGACGAGGCACACATGCCCCGTGCCCGGGCAGAGTTCATTCGGCAGATCATTCCTGCTCTCACTAACCAGAGTGAAGACTGCCTCACCCTAAACATCTACACTCCAATCATGGGTGAGTTACTCTCATTTATCCTATTCTAGTGGGGTACCTCGATGTTACTAAAAGGCTCTTGATTTATGGAATTAGAGCTACAAATGCCCTGAATCAAGCCTGATTTGGGTAATCACTATGTATTTTAACTGTACTTATTTGTCCCTGTACCTGTACCCTGTACCCATGGCAGAGGCACTGTATGAACCCTGCTGGCTTATCGCTTCTCCCTACTATTGTAAGCATATTCTTAAGAATTGATGCACAGACAGTGATGAAGACGAACAACATAACTTACTCCATGAAGTGCTAAACCTGTATGGGACATTCTGCTCAAATACTAGTGGATGCTCGATCCTCCTTCCGCTAACTGCTGTCATGATACTGACGAGACATTCTCGCCCATTCTGAATATTATCTAATTCTTAAAAATATTCTGTGACTAATCCCTCAATCTTTATAAGCATGTTAATACATTTAATCACAATATTACACATAATTATTATTATTATAATCAAGGGAGAAGCGGTAAACCCGGAGGATTATACAGCGCCTGGGGGGGGGGATGAGGAAGGCATTCAGACTTAATTCGGGGAACTGGAGCACAGATCCAATTCCCTAAATCAAGAGCCCCTCACCAACATCAAGGAACCTTCCTTGAGGGGAACACAATATTATACAGAAGGATGAATATCCTCAGAGGTTAATAGAGTTCATTTTTCTTAGTTTATTGCAAAATTAAATAAAAATTAAAAACGTCGTAAAGGAAGAACTTATATGTAACAGCGCATAACAATACTCATAATTATCAGTCTTGCTGACTGTAAGTTACGGTGGAATTACCGACAATGTTAGGAAAAAAGGACACAGTCGCAGCTAATGTGACATTGTATTGTGGTAATGTTTCGCTCTCCAGGTGCTTTATTAAAGCTCCCGGAGAGCGAAACGTTGTCACAATAAAATGTCACATTAGTTGCATCTGTGTTCTTATACCTAAATGTGGTTCATCTTCAATTAAAACCAGTGAACAAGCTTTGGCGATATAATAAAACAAGTAATAAGATAATGATTTATAATTTGATGTAGTAATAAAATGAGATATAAATTGATACAATGAGATTTGAAGAGAGACACTGGAATGAGAGTGGGTTGTGCAACCTATGGCCACTTAGCATTGATGTGTAGTGGGGTGGGTTGTGCAACCTATGGCCACTTAGCATTGATGTGTAGTGGGATGGGTTGTGCAACCTATGGCCACTTAGCATTGATGTGTAGTGGGGTGGGTTGTGCAACCTATGGCCACTTAGCATTGATGTGTAGTGGGATGGGTTGTGCAACCTATGGCCACTTAGCATTGATGTGTAGTGGGATGGGTTGTGCAACCTATGGCCACTTAGCATTGATGTGTAGTGGGGTGGGTTGTGCAACCTATGGCCACTTAGCATTGATGTGTAGTGGGTGGGTTGTGCAACCTATGGCCACTTAGCATTGATGTGTAGTGGGGTGGGTTGTGCAACCTATGGCCACTTAGGATTGATGTGTAGTGGGATGGGTTGTGCAACCTATGGCCACTTAGCATTGATGTGTAGTGGGATGGGTTGTGCAACCTATGGCCACTTAGCATTGATGTGTAGTGGGATGGGTTGTGCAACCTATGGCCACTTAGCATTGATGTGTAGTGGGGTGGGTTGTGCAACCTATGGCCACTTAGCATTGATGTGTAGTGGGATGGGTTGTGCAACCTATGGCCACTTAGCATTGATGTGTAGTGGGATGGGTTGTGCAACCTATGGCCACTTAGCATTGATGTGTAGTGGGATGGGTTGTGCAACCTATGGCCACTTAGCATTGATGTGTAGTGGGATGGGTTGTGCAATCTATGGCCACTTAGCATTGATGTGTAGTGGGATGGGTTGTGTTATCTATGGCCACTTAGCATTGATGTGTAGTGGGATGTGTTGTGTAACCTTTGGTCTCTTAGCATTGATGTGTAGTAGGATGGGTTGTGTAACCTATGGCCACTTAGCATTGATGTGTAGTGGGATGGAGTGTATAACCTATGACCACTTAGCATTGCTGTGTAGTGGGGTGGGTTGTGCAGCCTATGGCCACTTAGCATTGATGTGTAGAAGGATGGGTTGTATAACCTATGGCCACTTAGCATTGATGTGTAGTGGGATGGGTTGTGTAACCTATGGGCACTTAGCATTGAAGTGAAGTAGGAAGGATTGTATAACCTATGACCACTTAGCATTGTTGTGTAGTGGGGTGGGTTGTATAACCTATGGCCACTTAGCATTGATGTGTAGTGGAATGGGTTGTGCAACCTATGACCACTTAGCAGTGATGTGTAGTGGGATGGGCTGTGCAACCTATGGACACTTAGCATTGATGTGTAGGAGGATGGGTTGTGTAATCTATGGCCACTTAGCATTGGTGTGTAGTGGGGTGGATTGTGTAATCTATGGCTACTTAGCATTGATGTGTAGTGGGGTGGGTTGTGCAAACTATGGCCGCTTAGCATTGATGTGTAGTGGGGTTGGCTGTGCAACCTGTGACCACTTAGCATTGTTGTGTAGTTGGTTGGGTTGTGCAACCCATGACCACTTAGCGCTGATATGTAGTGGGGTGGGTTGTGCAACCTATGGCCACTTAGCATTGATGTGTAATGGGGTGGGCTGTGCAACCTATGGCCACTTACCATTGATGTAGTATAGTGGGGTAAGGATGGGTTGTAGGGTCTACGGCCACTTAGCACTGATGTTTTTGTACGGTGTCAGTGATCCCAGGCTCCGAGGTGTACCCGGTGCTGGTGTTCCTACATGGTGAGAGCTTCAGCTGGGGCGCTGGCTCTCTCTACGACGGCTCTGTCCTGGCCGCCTACGGCAGAGTGCTGGTTCTCACCTTGAACTACCGCCTCGGTCCTCTGGGTAAGTAAAATGATACTGGCACTATTTTACTAGTCCTTCTACTAATCCTGATACGAGATTTTCCACTAATACTAGTACTAGTAATAATACCTTTACTATCAAGCACTATTAGTACTAGCTTTAGTAATAGTGCCTGTACTAAAACTTGTTCTAGTACCTCTACTAATTATGTTACTACAACTACTAGTAGTACTCTCTCTCTCTCTTTTAAATGTGTATATAAATTATATATATAATATATATATATATATATATATATATATATATATATATATATATATATATATAATGTCGTGCCGAATAGGCAGAACTTGAGATCTTGGCTTAAATAGCAACGCTCATCTTGCCATATAGGACAAATGAAAATTTGTGTATGCAATAATTTCGCCAAAATCATTCTGAACCTAACGAAAAAAATATATTTGATTGTGTTTGTTTAGTAGTAAATTATTGTAAACGTATTTAAAATGTGTTTAGTTGGGTTAGGCTAAAATAAATTGTTCTTGTTACAATAAGGTTAGGCAAGTTTTCTAAGATTCTTTTGGTGCAAAATTAAAATTTTTTACATTAACATTAATGAAAAAAATATATCTTTAAACGTATAAGAGAAATTTTTAGAAAGGACTTAATTTTAAATGAGTTCTTGCTAAATGACCAGTTTTACACATTCGGCACGATATATATATATATATATATATAATATATATATATATATATATATATATATATATAAATTATATATATATATATATATATATATATAATATTGCATCGTGGGATGAAAGCCAAAATTCACGACGCTTTACCAACTAGGACAAGAATCCTACAAGCATCATGTAGTCAGTAGCACTAGGTATGCTTCATGAAGTGAGGACATTCGTGGTTGTGATTAGCTGACAACTAATTTAATTCTACTCCCATTTTGAAATACCAGCCTTCACGAGCAGTCCACATATTAATGAAACCACGAACAAGTGGTTTTTAAGCAAATAACATATTGCGGATAGCCGGGGATCGAACCCCTGTTGTTTTAGGAACATTATTAACCGAAGTTGAGTCCTGGAGGAGGAAAGTTCTACGCATGCACTCTAAAGGTGTGCGGATATTGGAGTTCGGAGGGGCTCTCTGACGAGACGGTAACGAAGTAAATGAAGGTTAAAGTGTTTCTTCTTTTTCGGGTCATCCTACATCGGTAGGAGACGGCCAGTGTGTGTGTGTGTGTGTGTGTGTGTGTGTGTGTGTGTGGTGTGTGTGAGAGAGAGAGAGAGAGAGAGAGAGAGAGAGAGAGAGAGAGAGAGAGAGAGAGAGAGAGAGAGAGAGAGAGAGATCTGTTGAGATACACGCCTCACGGCCTTTATACCCTGAAGCTTTGATGTTATTACTGACAAGTGAAGAGATCAGATAAAGCACTAAACCTCAGCTACCAAACTAAGAAAATATTTAACACCATTACTTAAGTTAATTGAAGATTTGAGAACAAACTTTTCACTTCCATTAAGATAATTTAACATGTAGGAACTCTGCACTCTCATTACCCTAACTTAACACGTAAGAACTCCCTTAACACAATATTCAGTGGAAACATGGCATCTAGAGCGAAAGCAAAAATTTGCAGGTTAAAAAATATATTTCTCGTCTTCAGACAGATGCTACACTCATTTTTTTAAGCATTTTATTTGCTTTTAAGGTAGTCAAGCTTCTGAGCTCCATTTCAGGTTCTTGTGTTTGTGGATTCACGATCTTGCTAAAGATTTGCTGTGGATTCAGAGCCACTAATCAGATTCACAGCCACCATTATGGATTCACGGGAGGACAGAGCCACCATTCCATATTAATTAATTAATGGCAGCTTGGCTTCACAGTCACCATAGAGGATTCACGGGAGGACAGAGCCACCATTCTATATTAATTAATTAATGGCAGCTTGGCTTCACAGTCACCATTGAGGATTCACGGGAGGACAGAGCCACCATTCTATATTAATTAATTAATGGCAGCTTGGCTTCTCAGTCACCATAGAGGATTCATGGGAGGACAGAGCCACCATTCTATATTCATGGCAGCTTGGATTCACAGTTATGGGGGATTAATGGCATCTCAGATTAAGGCCAACACTTCATGTTTTTGTTCTTGGATAAAAATACCAAAACGAAAAGTAGCTGAGTTTTACAAAAGAAAACTCAGTAGTGACGCTATTGTGCTTCATGACGCTATTGACGTGCTTCATGACGCTACTGTCGTGCTTCATGACGCTATTGTCGTGCTTCATGACGCTACTGTCGTGCTTCATGACGCTATTGTCGTGCTTCATGACGCTACTGTCGTGCTTCATGACGCTACTGTCGTGCTTCATGACTATTGTTGTGCTTCATGACGCTACTGTCGTGCTTCATGACGCTACTGTTGTGCTTCATGACTATTGTTGTGCTTCATGACGCTACTCTCGTGCTTCATGACGCTACTGTCGTGCTTCATGACGCTACTGTCGTGCTTCGTGACTATTGTTGTGCTTCATGACGCTACTGTCGTGCTTCATGACGCTACTGTCGTGCTTCATGACGCTACTGTCGTGCTTCATGACGCTACTGTCGTGCTTCATGACGCTACTGTCGTGCTTCATGACGCTACTGTCGTGCTTCATGACGCTACTGTCGTGCTTCATGACGCTACTGTCGTGCTTCATGACGCTACTGTCGTGCTTCATGACGCTACTGTCGTGCTTCATGACGCTACCGTCGTGCTTCATGACTATTGTTGTGCTTCATGACGCTACTGTTGTGCATCATGACGCTATTGTTGTGCTTCATGACACTACTGTCGTGCTTCATGACGCTACTGTCGTGCTTCATGACGCTACTGTCGTGCTTCATGACACTACTGTCGTGCTTCATGACACTACTGTCGTGCTTCATGACACTACTGTCGTGCTTCATGACACTACTGTCGTGCTTCATGACACTACTGTCGTGCTTCATGACGCTACTGTCGTGCTTCATGACGCTACTGTCGTGCTTCATGACTATTGTTGTGCTTCAAGACACTACTGTTGTGCATCATGACGCTATTGTTGTGCTTCATGACACTACTGTTGTGCTTCATGACACTACTGTTGTGCTTCATGACGCTATTGTTGTGCTTCATGACACTACTGTTGAGCTTCATGACACTACTGTTGTGCTTCATGACACTACTGTTGTGCTTCATGACGCTATTGTTGTGCTTCATGACACTACTGTTGAGCTTCATGACACTACTGTTGAGCTTCATGACACTACTGTAGTGCTTCATGACACTACTGTTGTGCTTCATGACACTACAGTTGTGCTTCATGACGCTATTGTGCTTCATGACGCTACTGTTGTGGTTCATGACACCACTGTTGTGCTTCATGACACTACTGTTGTGCTTCATGACGCTACTGTTGTTGTTCATGACACCACTGTTGTGCTTCATGGCACTACGGTTGTGCTTCATGACGCTACTGTTGTGCTTCATGACACTACTGTTGTGCTTCATGACACTACTGTTGTGCTTCATGACACTATTCTTGTGCTTCATGACACTACTGTTGTGCTTCATGACACTACTGTTGTGCTTCATGACACTACTGTTTTGCTTCATGACACTATTCTTGTGCTTCATGACACTACTGTTGTGCTTCATGACACTACTGTTTTGCTTCATGACACTATTCTTGTGCTTCATGACGCTACTGTTGAGCTTCATGACACTACTGTTGTGCTTGACACTACTGTTGTGCTTCATGACGCTACTGTTGTGCTTCATGACACCACTGTTGTGCTTCATGACACCACTGTTGTGCTTCATGACACTACTGTTGTGCTTCATGACACTACTGTTGTGCTTCATGACGCTACTGTTGTGGTTCATGACAACACTGTTGTGGTTCATGACACCACTGTTGTGCTTCATGACACTACTGTTGTGCTTCATGACGCTACTGTTGTGGTTCATGACACCACTGTTGTGCTTCATGACACTACTGTTGTGCTTCATGACGCTACTGTTGTGGTTCATGACACCACTGTTGTGCTTCATGACACTACTGTTGTGCTTCATGACGCTACTGTTGTGGTTCATGACACCACTGTTGTGCTTCATGACATTACTGTTGTAGTTCATGACACTACTGTTGTGCTTCATGACACTACTGTTGTGCTTCATGACGCTACTGTTGTGGTTCATGACACTACTGTTGTGCTTCATGACATTACTGTCGTAGTTCATGACACTATTGTTGTGGTTCATGACACTA